TTATTTCATTCCAAATACATGATTTGGGGATATTGTAACATCACATATTAACAAAATTTTTATATGTATACACACTTATCAAGGATCAACAAAGTATTATCAGTTCAAACACACACACACACACGCGCACGCTCGAAAATTACCTGATATAGTACATTATAAAAAAATTCTTTGGTCAAAATGAATAGCAAAAAAAGTTTGAATCTATCCTGCTGTTTATATTACTACAGTTTTTAAACATGAATAGGTACAAAGTTACTGCTTTGTTTGCGGCACAGTTTCGTCAGAAAAATGTCATAATTAAACCAAAAATCCACAAACAAACAAGAGTAATACTAAATTTATTTTCCAGTCAATAAATGGTTCATTTATTCTAATTTCGTACGTTTCTATTTGCACAACCTTTTTAAAGTATACAATCCATTTAGGATGATTGATCATTTCACTGAAACTTTTCTAAAGCTATTAAAATAAAACAATTTCAACACCATTCATATTCTTGATATATCTGGAATTTTGTTAACTAACATATTGTAAGGTTTGAATTCAATTCTTGAATTTAAGTGGACACTAAATATTTTGTTTCTACGGCCAAAATACAGATTTATAAACTGAACAGAAAGAGGTATTCTAACATTCTAGAAGATTGAATTACAGCAAATTAACATAATAATTAGATTATTTAGGACCCTGAATCATTAACTTATATAATAGTTAAAATGCAAGTCATTACAAGCACTGGGAGAATAAAATATAATACGATGTTCACAATTATATAAAATGCACAGCCATTTTAGTAAAGTAATTTGGATAATTCCAGAATATATTAGATCATAAGGAAAAATGTCTAACTTTATGATCAGTACTCATAGAAAGAAGATAAAAACAATTATGAGAAACAAAGTGACCATCGAAATCATGAATCTGCACATCTGAGCAATGCTAGAAACAAATCATTAAAATTGAATTCAATTCTTAGATAAATGTTCTTAATTTGTCTTTTATAACTGATCTATAAAGGCTTAAACAATAATGCAGTATACCAGAAAAGATATTTCCAAAACTAACAAATTTTAATATTTCAGCACTTATTTGGAAATAAAAACTTGGATCTAAACACATAACAGAAATAAAATTTAAGGTGAAGAACACAAGACAAAAAGACAAATAATTGTTGAAACAGTAAAGACAAATTAAATTAGAAATGTCGGTTCGATTCCGCAATAAAACTTCGTACGTGAAAAGTTAATAGAAAACATCAAAAAACTACACACACACGTATAAAAATCTTTTGGTGTGTTTTATTTCAGTAGTACTTGATCCACCAAATTCACACAAATTTTACTTACTGGAAATAGTAACAAGTTGCCAGGGATAATATTGATATGTATATGTATATGTATATGTGTGTGTATATGTATATGTATATATGTGTATGATATGTATGTGTATATGTATATATGTATATATATATATATATATACACACACACACACACACACACACACACACACACACATGTATATATAGACTCACACACAAGTAATGTTCTTCTACAGTGTTTTAGAATGGATATAATTTGAAAACCACCTTACTACTATGTCACAGATCAAAATCATTATCTGGCATCTTGTCACTATGCCCAGTAAGTAAAATTTGTGTGAATTTGGTGGATCAAGTATTACTGAAATAAAACACACAAAAAGCATTATAGAGGACGGAACATCAAAAGCTTATCTTAAACTAAATCAAACTCTAAAAGATCTTGTTCATAAAACCAACTTGACACAAATTCTTATGAGAAACCATACACTTAACTGAAACACTATTTAATGCTAAGTTGTTGACGTTTCTAATGGAATGGTACCACTTTCTAATCAATTTACACAAATAAAAATGAAAGTATTATTGGCTGCTAAATTCTTCTCAACAGCTCAACAAATTTCAAATATTTTGATATGTAGGTAGAACATGGACTATCTTAATCATATTGTTTTGATGGCCAGCTACCAACATACATTGACACACTGGAAAGTATCTTCTGAGTAATCTTTTTTTTTTTTTCAGTCTATTTCTTCCAAATGAGAGCTCAGATTTGAATATAGTAAACAACAAAAACATGATGGTAAATTGAAATCCTCTTGAAAAAGGGATTTCAAGAAGCATAATAGTTGTGACCAGTCAACTAAATATATCTTTTAGAGCTATGACTCACAAACAATTGCTCTGATTTTTTAATATAATTAACAACAAAAAATGCCCACAAAAAGGCCAACCGAGATCCTATTGAAGCAATGTTGCAAGAAACAATACAATAATGAACATTTTACTCTGAGATGTCTAGATCAAAAACCTACCATTTTTGAATTGTGAGTTATTCTATTTGCTGATTCCTATGAAGTGGGCAGATTATGCTAGAACAATATTAAGTTAGAAAACTGAAGACCTGCAAACAAAGAGGTTTTTCCAAAATAAAAATAATAATAATAAATCCTTCATAAATATTAACATAAAAATACCAAGAAGTTTCCTTTTAGCAAATATCAATCTTTAACTAACAAGAACAAAAATTCTGAAATATTAAAGTATAAAGGGATTCTTTGATTTGTTTAAGCAAATAGGTGTTCATGCAAATATACATCTCACATTTTAAAAAAATCTAATAGTAGCAATACATCTGACTTGTGTATCTCCTTATATATCCTTGTGTATCTTATTCTCTAAGACTCCAGGAAGGTCTCTACCACTGAAAAAACGCCAAAAACATGTACTTAATTCTGATTAAAGAAAGTAACCACTGGTTTTCCAAAGTACAGGGATTGTTTGGCCTGTTCAAACTGGACATTTATTCATTACTATGTCAATTTATGAGGTTTCAAACCATTTCTTACGTAAAAGTACACTAAAATTTTGATCAGTTTATTTTGTCCACCGTTTCACTTAAAAAGAAGGTAAAAATAAAAAGATGAAAAATCATCTCGAAAGAACAGTAACGTAATACTTAATTCCTCCTTCCCCAGTGCAGAATTGCAGAAATTCTACATGCAAATACCCGGAAACAACATTTTAATAGTTTTAGAAAACACCCATTACGTTATAGTAAAATGCAATACTATAAGAAAATACCTTTGCATGAATATTGCAATCAAGATATTCAAAATGCTATTACTCACTATAAAAGCGGCAAATATGTTTTCTGAGGTGAATCGTTAGCAAAATACATAGATAATATATAAACACTAATTATTTTGTTTCAAGAAGTATCTCTTAATTCGATATTACATGAAGTTTGTTTTCAAGCACATTTATAACTAGAAACTTATTTTAAAGAGCATGTTATAGTACTATCATACAAAAAGTAGTCTCTCTCTTATTGCAATATAAAAATGATACAACGCCCATTATCAACTAAAAGATAGCTGCAATGCTTTGAAAATTTCCTTATTATTTAATAACTTTTTATGAGAGAGACTTTCACCATGAGTCTAGTCAGTTTAGACAAGTTACTAGGCTTCCTCAGTTCCTTGCTTATAAAAAATGCATTAGCCTCTGCATGCCATGGTTTCTCCAAGCAAACACCAAGGGATATATTCAATCGACAAATACTTATTTGCATGATCATTAAATTATATTAGTCAAGTTTATGTATTCTTGTACTTCACTTTGGCAGAAGAATTAATAAAAAATTACAGAGAAATAATTCAGCATAACCATTTTCACATAACAGCCACAGCCTTACTAAATATTTAGAACAAAATTATGCTGCTGGAATGCACAATTTAAAAAATATAAAAGAAATTACAAATCAAATGTGCACAAAAATTATAGATGTAAAATATCATAGTAAATAATAGGGTGCCTAAGTATTCTAAGTTGATTAACAGAACTTGTTAATACTTGTTGCTGATGTCTGAACCCACACCACTAGATATTATGCATGTCAAGGTCAAATATGTCTCATGTTTTCATTTGAAAGTGATTAAATATAAATAATAAATGGTGACACATATGTGATGGCTACAGGAGTGAAGTCTGATTCATTAAGTTACAAACTTCTGTATACTCCGATTGATGTTCTTTTGGCAAAGTTGAAATATTATCACTTCAAAAAATGGCTTTAATGTGCTAAAAAAATTTATCAAAATCTCAAAAATATTACACTTTTTAATTGTTATTAACTGACCAAAGGGTAATTTTATAACATTATTATAAATGGATACATTGGTTATTTTAAAAAATTAATGCTTATCTTTTCTAATTATAAGAATTTTCACAAGGTCTGTGTTTCATTTAACTTTTGAGGTCACTAAATTCAAATCTGATAACAAAACTAACTTGAGAGATAACTACAATACTGTACAAATAGCAACTGACAAAGAGGTGAAGGTTCTACTTCTGACACCAATCTAATTCCATGTTCTAAAGATTTTGCACAATTGTGAACAGTAGGTGTTGCTTTTCTCTTTGGGTAGTATCTTTTCCTGGTAAACTGGCGATAGTCAATTATTGCATAATTCTTAATATCTCAGAATTCCATTGTGTTCTGTAGAACCACTTTTCAGGGTGTTTCTATCTTTCCAAGCAACACTCATAATTTAATAGTTTATAATCAGATGGCCACCATTTGTGCAGCTTGCAGCTCAGTGCTCCACTGCATATTGAGATAGCAGAAATATGGCCATGAGCTTATTATCATCTGCCTGACAGCTGCAGAAATCGAACACCCTACTTTGCCCAAAGCCTCTTGGTGATGAATTTATCCCAAATGTACAATATGTCTTTGGCTGGACATAAAAAAATAAAATTCACAGTAATGAGTTTTATACATATATTTCAGGCATCTTCAAAACTCTTCAAACTCTTATTACATTCACCCAAATTTTTTAATGCAATAAAATGTTCGGTATAGAACAGCTTTTCAGAAATCTTGCAAACTTCTTCACAGGCATTTAGCAACTTCATTAATTGCTGTTGGTGTCATTATCATTACGCATTCTATTGCTTGAGTGCATAGTATCGTTATCATAAAGAGTTCACCTGACATACTTGCTAATAAACTGGGCTGACTACTTCGCCCTGGTCTCCTCTAGTGACAAGGCTCACATGTTCTCAGAAAGAAGTGAAGCATAAAAGCAGAAATCCTTACTAAAACCTCCCACAGACAACAGCTTAGCATTATTATACATTGCTCACAATACTGAATGTGATCTGACAATATTGATTACACCTTTATCACATGCAAAAAACAGTAAGTAATTTAAGAAAAGAAGAGATGTACATGTACAAAATTGAGAGTTGCATTCAAAAACTTAAAAAGCAAGTACATTACAACCTTTGTACAGAAAGGTCACATAAAATAATTAGATTGAAAGTTAAAGTTTAGGTTGTGATGTAAATAGTCACCACTGGGGGCAGATGTTCTTAATAACCAACTTTCCCTGAGCGTCACGATACCTACATGGTAAACTACTATCAGTATTTGTAACAATGAATACACGGCAAATATAGAAAAATGAAACTAAATGGATGACTGAAAATTGAATTCTTAATTCATGTACTTCCCATATTCCTGTTCAAAACAAACTTCATCTTCAATCCTGAGATGAAACTTGAATAAAAATATGAAAAAAAGATGACGTGTTTGAAATGAAGTATTCTATGTGACATTACCTAATAAACTGCAATAACAGAAGTTTCCACTAAATGAGGTTGCTCCAGAGAAAAGTTACATTGGCAGATTATGTGCAATGTAATTCCTTCCAAAAAGAAAATAGCTAGTGAAATATTAGCTCCACTTTATCAGCAACAAGTAGAATGACAGAAACCAGAATCTCAATTGAGGTTTATGGATAAGTAGGCATTGGAAATAAAAGAAATTGTGACCAGAATGATCTTGAGAAGAGTTTTGTATTGGCCACAGCACTGACCTAAAGCCTGACCCAGACACAGATATCATCCCAATTACGAAAACTATAATTATCAAAAGGAGTTTTTGAAATGAACAAATTGTTGCAACAACATGCAAACACTCAGAAATCACACGAATTAATCACTGTTGACGCAATTATAAAGTTGATCATCAAAGTTTTTACACCTTTTTTCATAAAATTTTCAAAAGGTTTATAGAAGTGAATGTAATCAAAGGATTAATTGACATCAACATTATATAAAACAAATTAAATACATTTTATGAAACTATTCTGTTTGAGTTTACCACTAATGGAATGTGAATCAGATAAGTGCAAATATTATACAAATCACTTTGAAGTTCACTTCAGTTCAACTACCAGCTACTAATACATAATGCAACATATATTAAAAATTACTCATTAAAATTAATTCCTCTGTTGCCATCGAAAAGCTTTTTGAATTAACAAAAATTTTGAAAAATTATAATAGACTTCTTTTGTAAAGTATGTCACATACAATAAGTTTATTTTTGAATTGAAACAGCACTACAAATTAAGTCAAAAGAAAAAGTGTTTCCACAAAAATTATAGAAGCAAAAGGAATAACATTTTTTAATACACAAAACAATTTTAATGACAAGTAATAGGCCTATCTATGAGATTATGATTACAAACGATGAGAAAAGGATGAAAATAGTCACAGGTTACACATTAATAAAAAATTACCCTTCTATTTGTAGATCCAGCTGTAACATGAAATATCTGGTTCCTTCTCCAGCTAATAGTGACACACATTATACGTATTCTAAATAATTTCACATTTTAAGATATCATTTAAATACTTTTATCTACAACAATGTGATTACTTTGGTTGCTATAGAAAGGTTCATTATAGCACTCTTAATGAATTTATTATACCACTAGTTGCTTAATGATTTCATTATAACACCACCTCTTCGAAGACTAACAAAAAGTGTTGTTCGAAACTAACAAGCAACATTACTCTCTTAACTAAGTTGTTTATGTCAAATATTCATATACATAAAATTAAAAATGTCTTTATAATAATCGTAGATAAAAGTTTGAATGATACACATTTGATGTAACATCATCATGAAACTTGTATTGCTTTGGCACTTCTGGGCCTTATGGAACACAAGCAATTCTCATTTCATTAATAGCTATACTGTTATTTTCTTAACCACCTCAACAAACATTTCTCATTAATATAAAAAATTTTGAGTAACCATAGTATAGTGTACTCGTACATTTGACATCTTATTTGATTAATAACTACGTGATAAAAACCTACATTTCCAAAAACAATGCAAGTTCAAAAGGTCTTGTAACACAATATCTCTAACAATTGTTGGGCACTAGTCACTGCCTAAGTATTACGGATTTCTCCGTACTTTTTTAAATTTTTTTTTATGCGTGCGCACGCGCGCACACACGCACACACACACACACGCACACACGCACACACACACACACACACACAATGGCATGAAAAACAAAACACTAATTACAATTGGACCCATAGTGGTTTCTTTCATAAGATTAGTCTCTTCTGTTCAGAAAATTTGGAGAATCTTCATATTCAATTGGATTATATACAACAGAGTATTGGCATTAAAATAGAAATAAATATATGGACAAATAAATCAATCATAACAGAATGACCTGCCAGCAGTTTCTTTCTATGTAAAATAAAAATTATACAATAGCTTTAGCTGAACTCCATGGTGCTTTTTTTAATGCATTGGTACTCTGCTTATTAGAGGATGCCTACATAATCACATCCAGTTTCAGCATTTTCTTGAGGTATATTACAGAGGTAAAAATATAGGCTGTTTCTACTATTTAACAAATACGTTTGTAATTGCATCATTGTCGAAGTGGCTCCAAAGCACAGAGCATCAGCAGCCACTTGAGAGCTAGCAAATTTAACCTCCCTTGTGCTGACAATGTCACTTGAAGGCTAGATTATCGACATAATGAGACATTTGGGAGCTCAATTATATTACTTTTATCATGCATTATCTATTAATATACACAGTAACTGGGAAGCCCCAGCTTACAAATTAATAAAACATTAAATAATGCATCATTACTCATTTCCCCATACCTACAAGTGCCTCATCCATCAGCTCATCATCTGTTATGCATGGTGAAACAGAATGTGGAGAAGGAGTAACAAGGGGTGATGTTGCTGGAGACTTCACAATGTGAACTGAAACGGAGGGAGAGTTAGGAAATCCTGTTGGAGGTGGGAGAGAAGAGATAGGAGGAGGAGTATTCCTACGACTTGGAACAGTTGATGCAAGAGCCCGTTCTGGGACTGTGGTCAACTTACTTACAGGATGATCAGTAGGTAAGGTTTTGGTTGGAATGGTTGAAGACGATGAAAAATCTAGAAGAATTTCTGCAGCTTCTTGTTGTGGGGTAGCACTAGTAGGATTCATCTTGTTGGGAATTTTATTAACAATGTCACTTGTAATATTGGAAACTTTTTTAGAATCATCAGCAGATTTCTGCACATTGATAGAGGAAGTATACTTCGGTGATGATGTGTCCAAAGTTTTACTGCTTGGTAAAGTCAATGAAAGAGCAGACGATTCGCTCCCTGAGAAACACTTCACAGGCTCTAATTTGGTACTGGGTGTTAGGTCTTCTTTACACACAGCACCCTGCATACGGATTTCAGACTTTCCTCTTGCCCCACTTATGCTCATATCGTGTGTCTCAGCATTCACATCCAAAGGAGATGTTACACTTAAATTTAGCACTGGTGTTGAAGTGGTAACAGAAGTTGAAAGATTTGTATCTAAACTCACCATATCTCCTGCCTTGGTTACAACAGGAGGGAGTGATGGAGTATTTGTTTTAACATTTGAAGTCAAACCAACCATCTGATTAGGAGGCACAGGCATTGCAGGTGGTATAGGTGTCATAACTGGTGAAGCCCTCAAATTTTTGTTTTCATCACTACTTTTTGAAACTGGAAACTTAGAAGAAGTACATCCACTTTCTCCTTTACCTGCTAAATCTATAGGCTTTGACGATGGTTCTATTCGACTTGTTTCACCACTTGTAGTTTTCTCAGATGCAGATTTCTTTGCTTCACTATCTGATGGATTATTCCTTGCTGATAATTTGGGTATTTGAAATTTAGTATCCAAACTTTTCATTAGTCCTTCAACCATCAATTGAGGAGGCAACGTTGGTTCAAGCTTATTCAGCATTTTAAATGTTTCATTATCCTCTCGAAGACCAACTGGGCTTGATTTGCGAACATCTGAACTTTTTGGACCAGGAAATACTGATTTATCTCTATCACTACTACTCTTTGGAGGCCGAGGTTTATTATCCCTTCTGCTGGAATCAGTTGAACTAGTCATTTTTGGAGAACCACTTGATTTTGATACAGATTTAGATAACATACCTCCAACAGGTGAACTGCTTGATTTAGTCACAGAAACTTTTGATGACTGATTCCCACTACTTGTTTTACTGCTAGATCCTGAACTAGACATAGTAGAGCTACTTCCACTTGTTTTCTGTTGCATCATCTGATGAGGCTTTTTCGATGCAGGTCCACTATTAACACCAGGCTTCAAACCTGTGTGAGTTTTAGGAGATCCAGACCCTGATGCTGTGGTTTTTACTATACTACCAGATTTTGAATCCTTTGTTCTAGTCTTGTTAATAGTCAATTTCATTCCATCAGAACTAGGTTTTACCATATATTCCCCAGGGTTTTTATTAGTTTCACCTGGAGTTTTATTTCCAGGGTTAGTAGTGCAACTTCTCCCTTCTTTCGTTATTTCTGATGGTTCTGGTCCACTGTGTTGAGCAGTCAGTTTGTCAATGACAGCAGAAAGAGATCCTTTCCTGTTTCGAACCTGAGGTACAGATGTTGTCTTACTTCCACTAACAGAATTGCCTGAAGGAGGAGTAGTTCCACCAGATGGAGTAGTAGATGTACTTTCACCTGATGTGCTAGACAAGTCCAACTGTTTTAATTTTACACTTGATGATTTTAACTTTGGGCTTGATCCAGAACTTGAACTTCCAGAACTAAAAGAACTTGATGATACTTTTCTATCTTTATCTTTATTTGAGGATGATGATGATTTTACTTTAGATACTTCTCCTGAACTACTTTTTCCAGTTGTTGAGGGAGAACTTGCAGCAGATTTTAAAGCTGACATGCTAGGTTTACCTGAACTACCAGAGGACTGATGTTTGGGAGATGAAGTGCCATGATGTTTGGGGCTGCTTGTTGTATATCCCGGCGAATGTTTGGGGCTCTGATGTGATGAAGGTTTGTTTGATCCTGATTTCGAAACTGACAGACTCATGTGTGTTGGTGATGAAGTAATTTTTCGTAAAGTACCTGCTGGAGATGCAGGTCTAACATTCGATAAGGGGGGAGATTCAGTCGGTTTTATACTAACAGAGACAGGCTTTGATAAAGGATCTTGCTTAATAGGTAGCTTGTCAGGGGGACCCATTGATGCTCCACTCGGACTATCTTCTCTTTTCTGGCGCTTCCGTTTCTTTTCTAATTTTATCTTTTCTTCATTTCTACTTTTACCACTTTTTCTTTCTCTACTTCGATCATCACTCAATGATTTTGATGAAATTGGTGTAATTGTTATTGAGCTAGGCAGTGATGTTTGTGGACCAGAACAAATAGGGATTATTTCAATACCGGGACGTCGTTCTAAACCCATACCAGTCAGAACAGAATTGAAACTAGTAGATGATGAAGTGATTGGTGTAATGCTAACGGAAGGAGGTACAATATTCTTATTTTCCGGCAAGTCAAGGATTATGGTGGGTGGTGATGATTTCTTCTCTTTCTTAGGTTTTCTGGTTTTTAACATGTCTTCCATGTCATCAAGTTCCATTATTTCTTCTTCGGCAAAATCTGAGCCAGCTTTCTCTGGCTCACAATCTAAGCTCACATCCATTGGAGCATCACGTGATGTAGGTGTTCCCAATGGCGTAGAATCACTACTGGAGCTCTCAAGCACAATTTCACAATCTTCACTTTGTTTCCTTTTTGGACTGCGCCATATGCCGCTTTCACCTTTACGTTTCCTGGACTTTTTTATTGTAGAAGCAGGTTGAGCTGGTTGATCTCCCAGTATATTTAGAAGCTGAATGGGACTTTTCCCTTGTCCACCAGGGCCTGGTCCTGAGAGTAAGGCTCCTAATTGAAAAGAATTTGGAATACCTACTGAATTTTCTGATGTTTGGACAGGGCTCTGGAATCCTCCAATAGTAGTGTCAGCTAGTTCAGACCCAAAACCTTGCCTTCCTGAACCCAGAGATTGGTTGTGAGACATGCTGTTGCTGTCAGGTTCAGTTTTCACCCGACTCACATCAAAGTCGGGAACATTGTGTCCATTCGCACCACCATGACGTCCCTGATCATTTCCAGGAGGCATCCCTAAACTACTGCCATTCATCATTCCATTTGATCTAAGTTTCTGACGCTGCCAAAGATGAATTAACGATCGCATGGTAATTGGAATGGATAAACAGCTGCAATTGAAAATAACCATTATGAGAATAAATGAAATACATAAAAAACATACATGTTATTACCAAATGTTTTTTGTAATGCTCAAAATAAAATGTTCCTGTCCTACTGATTTTGTAAAAACCAATTTCTAGGTATTTTAATTTTCTCAGCAATACAGCTTTTAAAACTTAATTCACAAACAAGTGAAATAAATTAACATATTCTTTGGTAATGAACCAGTACACATTCATCATTTATTGGTGAAGCAATTTTAAAAATTAATTACATTTCAATATCCAATTAAGATTGATATCATGATAATTTCATTTATTAAACAAGATTTAATCTCATGGAACAATGTCAATACCATCCATAGGATACAAAATTTAACTTGGGAAATTTTGTTCCCAAAACAGTTTTTAATGTAATTTCTGCTCAATATCAGAAAAATTTCACAAGTATCAAAACTTCTGGTGACCAAATCTAAACAATACTTCAACATATTCAAAATTTGTTCATTTAATTGTAATTTAAGAAGGAAAGAATATCTTGACACTTTCAACAATATATTTAAAATAAGTATTCAAAACTTATGTTAATTTTGCATCTCATCTGCTTGTCAATTACGACAGACTTATAATCAAATTACTAAACGTCATTTTGAGAGAGGTTACCACGTCAATCAGTTTTGTATATGGAATACAACACCAAAAATAGAATATAATTACTACAAAAATTTCAATTATAGAACAATGAAATAAATTAGTGAATTAGGGAAACATTTTTGAGAAAAATGAATTTTCTTCACAAATAATGTTATTAACTTGCTCACCAATAGTCACAGCACACAAATATAAAGATGCTGGATATACATTATTGAGCCATGAAATTGATTTACTAAATTCACAAATAGGTAATGTTTCATGGGATTCATTTAAACTTATGATCATCAGATTTAGTTAATTATTCCTTTCTCTACACAATGCAGTTACTCTTAACTTGTTCTACATAAATTACAAACCGTGTTTATACACATCACTATTCACAGGGCAAATGTTTAAAGCAAGTAATTTCCTTGAGCAGGAAAAGTCTTTAAACATGTTGCAGAGATTATTTTATCTGAATATTCTTATGAAATGTTGAGAAATAGAATAACTGAAAGTTAGCACAATTATTTAAATTGGAAAGATTTTTAATTGTCTTATATAAATACATGTGAGTAGCTAGTAAGATAAGACACTGGACATGATAGTTGTATCTAATAATGTGTGCAAAAGTGTGGGTTGTACATTACCATATACTCTTTACACACAGAAATATAAACACACCTTAGAATTAAGATAACATTTTTTATAGTACTTGTTCAAAATTTTACCTACATTGGATAAAATATAGTTTACCACACACTTTCAATTTAATGGTTATTTCCAGATTTTCAAAGTCACAAATAATTGATTTCAAAGTTGTTGCATAATTTTTGAGTTGGTAGGGGTAAATTAAAATTATAAAGGAATAAATACATTACTTTATTTTGATTAAAACTACCAAAACCTTTAGTTTTTAACACCACAAATCACAGAAGTTTTGATATTATGACCTTGCACAGTCACTGGGGTATCACAAATAACATCAATTTTGTTTTCATAGAACACGCGAGTTTTTCTAGAACTTTTATCTTTATTTATGAGTTCAGTTAGGTCCTAATTGTTTTCTTAGGCACATGAGAATTTTGGCTCAGTGTACTACTCCAGGGTGCAATTAAATTTCTCACTTTGTGAATTTTTACAGTAATTTTACTCACTGTAGTGTACATTACAGAACATTGTCTTGAAACATGAGAATGGCCCAAATAGTTAAAAGCGAGAAAATTGGTCACAGATTCAGCTTATAATAATTCATATTAATAATATTGTATATTTCATGTGACTACAGACATGTATTTTGTATGTTTAGTATAAAACATAAATAATGAAAACAGAAAAAAATCTTTATGAAAAGAGAAAAACATGGTAGAAAGAAGATATGCCCAATAAACAGAATGTTTGCTCAATGTAATAATCATTTTGGAGAAAAAAATGTTTGAGTAGAAAAGCATGTTAGGTTTTTCATAAAAGACTGGGAACATCCTCAGTTGATTTATCCATATTTTATTGAAAATGCAATATTTCAACAAATATGATTGTCACCTAATGTACTATAATTCTAGAATTTGTCAAGATATTTTCTATTGTCGTGATCTAAAATTAGGATCATCATGTATAGTGTGTGATTGTTCTTCAATGTTAATAACTACTGGAACAAATATGAACCAGATAATAAATTTAGGGGAGATATTAAAAGACGTTAATATTATTCCAAAATTATATTAAAAGAAAGTACAAAATAAATTGTTGATGCATCACACCTCAATGTGACCTCTGTGTGATAAATTGTAAGTGTGAACACAGGGTTATTAAAAAGATTAAGCAAGAAACACACTAATAAATAAATAACCATCCCAATATAATTCAACAATATGTACAAGTTACAATATAGACTTTCCGGAGAAATTTTTGTTGCTTGTCAGCATTTTTACTCCATTACATATCAGTTTTCATTTCCAATTTTTTTTTTTTTTTAAATATAATTTTTAATTTTCAAAATTCAAAAGTTATAATGAAAATCATACGTTTATCATTTATCCATGATACTTGGGTATAAATCCTATTTCTATACATTTTATTTTCTTCATTTGTACGACATCTATTCCTGTTTATTTATTTAATGTCATTTTCATATGTTAATTTTATTAGTTGACCTATTTTCTTACCTATAGAGCTACTGAAGATGGGATAAAATTATTCCCGAAACATGTGTATGGCAAGTAATTTTTGATATTAAATTATATTTCAATGTACTTTGTGGTTGATACCTCCTCAATTTATATTCAAAATTTATGTTGGCTGATGCTTAAATAAGAATGACTATTTGCAAATATTGCACTATGAATATCAATGTTTTATAAAATGATTTTGTTATACTAGGAATTTACTTTTAGCAATTTAATTCAGCATTTATGGTTTACTAATGGGGAGAGATTGTGAAGAGCAATGTGCATTTGCAGAAAAATGGTAATATTAAGGCATGTATGATTGTACAACAATTATATATTGAAGTCAGATTTTTATGCACCTTAAAATGCAAAAATATGCCATACAAATGCAGTAAAAACGTAATAAACATGCAGTTAAAGTAGGGAATTTGGGTAAAAACACTCCCCCCCCCAACATTCATAAATACCTACTAAAGAAAAACAAATTTATTTTGGATTTAATTATATTGTTGAAAATTTTCTTATTTTTCTAATTGAATTTTTGAGGCTAAGTATCCTCTTTTAATAAAATTATCTGCCTGTAAAAAAATAAGGGGAGAGCGAGGCAATCTACTATCCACTTAGGAATAATGTTATAAAGCAAATATTACTTTCTACGAAGAAAAAACACTGCAGAATTAATACATGCAAGAAAACTTACCGCTGTAATATTTTACTAGCATGTTCTTGCACAGAATTATTTTCACATCCACTTCCATACACTTTGCATTTCAAGTTTGCAGCATCTGAAAGATCTAATTCAGCTGTTGCCATTGTTTCTTCTAAAGGATGTTCAAATGATATTGAAAGGTGTTGCCACGACAAAGCTGTTATTTCAAACATTATCAAATTTTCCAAATCTGGAAGGCAAATGTGATCCATAATATCACCTCAAAATATCTAAAAATTAAGGTATTTGTTTAAAAAGAGTGATGAAAGATCCATTGGTATCCAACAAAAATCTTCAACTTCTGAAACTATTGCATGATATTTAGAGTAATTTCCAGAACCACTTACTATCTCTTACTGCTTTCTCTTTTTAGAAAAGGACTCTGATAAACCTGTTCTTAATCAATCTTACCTAATTTACTTGCAGGACGAATGCAACTTGCAACCAAAACATTAAACAAAGCTTGTTGACGCAGATAATTTAATATTTGTGGAACATGAGTGGGATGAGAGAATGGAATATTTGACACCAAAATTCCTTCCATATTTTTGCTTTCAGTCATAAAGTAACAATGGTGTTGATCTGGAAGAGACTGAAACAAAAATAAATTCAAATAGTAAAATGAATTTTCACAATATAAACATTTTTAAAATTTTACGAGGGAATGCTTGGTAACATTTTCAAGATATTAACTATGCTAGAAAAGAAAACCTGCAAAAAGCGCACAAGCATTTTGGCTTATAAATGTAAAAAAAATTGTTATAATAACAGCTAAAAAATGGAAGTACAATTACACATGTCTATGGTGGCATTAAATGGATATCAAGGTTTCAGCCTTTGCCATTCAAATTATCTGAAAACCTTGAAGGCACTTTCAAGGAACTGTTTCAATTTTAACAGCAAAGTGAATCCTCAAAGATGGTGCTTTGTGCAAATAATTTTACATTGTCTTGTTGGCATGTACCACTACAATACAGCTTACTTAGAACTACCATAGGTCTTTTCAAACTCAAAGATCAAGAAACAAAAATTTCATCACCACTACTTTTATCAAATTTCCTGACAACATGAAGCTAGTTTGTCTATTATAAATACATATCTACCTAAGCAATAAGAGAAACATACAAAAGAATAATTATTAGTTTAATGTACAATAGCGGCTCAACCTCATGTCAAATACTGTAGCGTAGAAGTGGAATAATTAATATAACGATCAATTTACAGTTTAGATCTTTTAAAAATATAACTTAGCGCAGATCTGCAAAAGAACTGGCCACACTCTCACATCCATATTCTCACAGTTAGTATGTGTAGATGTTTTGAAATGATTGGGCAGAAAAGGGATGATGCAAAGGTGACTAATTCTGTCAGTTTATGTCAGATGTCTGCAAGTTTATAAGTTGTGATTATCACAAGCACCGGTACAGAAAGGAGCCCTTCCCACAATACAGTTCCCAATGATTCCATGTTTAAGTTTCCTGTATGTTTATTTTTTTCTC